TCAACTTGCCACCATTCGTTTAATGACCATTCAAAGTTACAACAGCTTTGAAAAAAGTGACTTATGAACAGTTTTCACATTTAATGGCTGCTGCAGCTTCCCCAGAGTCATGTGATCAAACTTTGGGTGCTTAGCAACCAGAATGTATTTTCAAGGGTTGCAGCATTCCAGAGTCCTGGGCTTGCCATTTGCAACCTTCCTAGAGTGCTTCTAGCAAGCAAAGTCAAAGGAGGAAGCCAGATTTGCTTAACAACTTCATTGATTCACTTAACAAAAAGGCTGTGAAATAGAGCATGATTCATTTAACAACTGTCTTGCTTAGCAAGGAAACTTTTGGGCTCAATTGTGGTCGTAAGTCGAGGACTGCCTGTACATGCATCTGTCCTTAAGCACTTGATTAATGACGAGCAAATGAAACTGAGCTGCTACATATGAATTTATACAGCCACAGCCCTTTGCTAGATACTTTGAATTTAACCAAAAGAAGGTAAAAGATCAAACTCACTAATCCCTAGGCTTCTACCTAGTGCTTGCATATTTATTACCATTACTGCAGAATTATTCTTCAGGTCTGAAACTGAAATCACAGACAATAAAGCCTCCTTGTAAAGCTTTTAATAACATAATTCCTTACTTTCTTTGTTAAATATATGCTCCCTAAGTACTACAATAATCAAATTCCTTTCCTTTTCTTTTCTTTTTTAAAAAAGAGCAAATAAAAATTCAAGGAAGTTAGTTTATTCTAAATGTCTCCATCATCCAAACAGGATTTAAGATGGTGTACAATTATTTGAATAATTACAGCGTTAGAAAGTTGACAAATGAAACAACTAATCACCAGGACAATAAAATACGGACGCAAAAAAACAATGCTTAGGAAATACAAGCTTTGAAAATTTATATAACTGGTTAAAAACAAGTTATTTCCCCTTTTCTATCTGAATATCAGTCATTACTCTTTCTTCTCCTTATTCTTTGAAATCACTTCTATGACATCTGTCCATTTTTTCACCTGTTTTTTCATCAAGCATATTATACAAAATGCACAATTTAAAATAACTTCCTATACCTAAATTCATTTGGAATTTGATTTGTCATAGTAGCCCTCGCAGTTGTTCTTATAGGCTAAAGCTAGAGTGCTGCAATCTTGTCCTACTTAATTATTAAATTGTTTATTAAATGCATTTACTGTATATTGCCAGACAACTCGCACACTGCCTCCAGACAGCTTACAATGTTAAAATTCCACAATATAAAAATCCCATATACCCCACTGACCCACCACCCATTCTCCTGGCAACAAGCAAAATCATAACAGCCATTTGATTAGTTCTGTTACCATGGAATCCTCAGATCCATTGACAGAACCATGTTTTTAGGGCCTTCTAAAAAAGTGTCGAAGTTGAGATGACTCTTATCTCCAGAAGAATGATATTCCAAAAAGGGAGGGAACAGAAGGATCCCACTCAGTGGTGGGTTTCAGGCGGTACGCCCCGAGTACCATTCTGGTACGGTGCTCTGGAGGGCCCACCTACCCACCCTCCTTACCTGTATTTCAGCTCTTCGGCGCTTCCATGAATGTGCACAGAGCACATGGCGCCTGCGCAACACTCTGCCAAGCAGCTGGAATAGAGTATACTTTTTGGGTAAAGTAAGAATTATATGTCCTGGGGGGGATCAGGATTTTAGAGATGCTTAGGTGGGGCATGGCCAAAAAAGGTTGGGAACCACTGCACTAAATGTACTTTCCTAACAGTTGGGATCAGTAACATACCTTGTCTTCCTGCTTTGGTGGGCTAGGTAGATTTAACTATGGATATTTGTGAACCTATCATCAGTATCCCAAAATACAGGATGCTTGATCAGGGATTCTGATTCATGATGATAATCTTGCCATGATTCTTTGCCCTAAGTGAGTGAGTGAGTGAGTGAGTGAGTGAGTGAGTGTGTGTGTGTGTCTGTGTGTGTGTGTGTGTGTGAGAGAGAGAGAGAGAGAGAGAGAGAGAGAGAAATATCCTATATTTTATTGATGTATTATAAAAGCAGCATTATTAAAATTAGAAAATAACTGTCATGATTATATGAATTACAATTCTTCAGTTACTCTGTGCTACATTAGAAATTCCTAAATTTTGATTTTTCTTATTTTAAAACATATTAATATTGCAATAGAAGATAATATACGTATGTAACTTGATTGATCTGTAGAGTTCTTCATGCTTCTAAGCTTGGTTGTTTCCTTGCAAATGTTTCATTACCCAACTAGATAACATCTAGTTAGGTAATAAAACACCTGCAAAGCCAATCACCAAACTCAGGGCTCACCAAAAACTCCATGTATTAATATTGATTATTTAATATAGAAATTGTAACTTTTTTGGACAAAGATACAGTAATTAAATTCTGCTAAAATAATGCACTGCAATTTAAGATATACTTCACTGAGAGCTCATGCAAGCCTTCCAGGCATAATTTAGAAAGTATTTTTGAACAGTGTATGGTCTA